AGTTCAATGTACAGCTCAAGTGTCCCTGCCCCCATATGACTGAGGTCATGTCTGACTGCACTCACTGGGACATTATGGACTTGGCTATGTGAAGCCACAACTTGTTTAGTTTTGCAGAACATCCTTATACATGGACCCCTTACTGAATCCTAATCAGTCCACAGGGATGCAAATTAGTACTTAAGCCAAAACACCATTTGTTTCCCCAATTTTTAATAGTGTAAGGAAGTGTTATAACTCCCCTGTCAGTGTTTTTTGTTTGCCTTATCTGTCCTATTGGGGAGATTTCCCTTCACTTTTTGTGTCATGATCACAACAGGAAGTGAAAGGAAATCCCTCCTAATTAAGGGAAACTCCTATTGTCAGAACTAGTGTCCCCATTGGATGACTTCCCATCGTTTCCATTTTAAAAGTGAACCTGTGTCCAGATCATGCATACAAATTAATTTATATATTTTTTTTAAATCATTTTTAGAACTTTTCTTTTTGTCGGCATTTAACCACTTGAAGTCCGCGATGTTACACCCCCTTCCTGTCCCGGCCATTTATCAGTATTCAGCGCTGCAGTACTTTGACTGACGTTTATTCCATCATGCAACGCTGTACTGAAATTCATTTTGTACCATTTTTTTGGGGCTAGATAGAGCTTTCTTGTAGTGGTATTTAATCACCACTGCGTTTTTTTTTTTTTTTTACTATATTAAGGAAAAATTACTGAAAATAAAAACAAACAAAAAAACTGTTTCCCCTATATGAAATTATAAAACATTTATTATTACCCAATTTTCTGGTAAAATATCAGGTAAAATACCGACGTGACGGGGTCACGTCGGGTAAAAAGACACCAAACATGTCAAGCCTTAAAATTGCGCGTGCCCGCGAAACCTAAAAAAAACCGACAATACCCAAAATTGGCAATAGGAGATGCTTTAAAAGCTTTTACCACTCATCAGTTTAGTGTTATCAGTGATTGATGTGATGTTTGTGGCAATATGTAACATGTGTAGCGCAATTGTCCTTTTCGCTCGCTGGGGCATCTGACGCATATTTACGTTTATGTGCGTGGGGGACTTAAAATGTTGGGGTTTTTTTTTCTTTTTTTATATGTGAATTGTATTTTTTTACACTTAATGTTATTGCTATCACATAGGGGGATAATAACCCCCCTATATAACAGCAAAGGCACACTGACAGGTCCTCCTTTATGGAGGCATTAGGGGTCTCTAGGATCCCTAATTTCACCTGGGGACCCCCAAAGAAGCTGATGAAGCAGAGATCTGCTTCATCAGCTTTTCTCTGGCTATAGCAGCCAGATGACTTGACAGGTGACTGCGGAAGTGATGTATTACACATCACTTCCGCATTCACACTACGGAGGTAGATCAGCAAGGAGGAAGATGGTGATCTCCCTCCCGTCTTGCTCCTGACACCCTCCCAAGCTGGTCCCGGGCCGCAGATGGACCAGCGGATCCTGGGATTGAAGGTGAGGGTACAGGAGGGGGGCGGCGTCAGCGGCACTCGAGGGGGGGCGCACAGCCAGGCAGCACATACAAGCGATCGGCAGGCTATCGAGCCGCCGATTGCTTGTATGTGAAACAGCCGGTAACGGCTCTGCACAACGGACGGGTTTTTTCTGGCCGTGCGCGAGCAGAAAAAAAAAGCTGTCTATTTACGACAACCCGCCCATGTGAGTCTGCCGTCCGTTTTTCTGCAACGGGCGGACGCAAGTTCGTTAATGGCCACTGTTTTTTACAATAATAAGAGATTGAACATTTTGAAAGAAATGCCTTTTTCTTTTTATTATAAAACATATATTTTAATTTAGGACCAAGTGTATTTTGCTACATTTCTTTGGAAAAGAAAAAATAAATAGGTGTTTATTATTTTAGTGTTTGTGAGTCTGCAAACTAGGGTATAAATTGTATATTTAAAGCAAGGCTGCAACTAATAATTATTTTCAGAATCAATTAGTTGGTCGTTTTTTATATTTTTGATTTATCGGATAAAAAATGTAATTAATACCATCTTTCATTTAAAATACACATGCAGTGTTACATACAAAGTTTATTTCAGAATAAAACTGCATGCACAATTTTTTGCAATCGCATTGCACTGGGATGCACAGCAATCACACGTGCGATCACACTGTGGGTTTGGGGTGCCATTGAAATGAATGGCACTGCAACCTACCTTCTGCAGCAGGGTTTTATGCCGAAACCAAAAATGATTTTTTTCCCCCCAGCTAGGGATGTTCAGATACCAGGTACCATACCCGGTACAAGTACAGATACTTTTCCATCTCCAAGACTAGACTAGAGAAAAATTCCAAAGTTAGGAGTCAGCTGTCATTTGTAAGGAGCACACGGAGCTCCTGGGATTTCTACATCTCTATGTACATACATAATGTATGATTTTGTTTTTATAAATAAGTGATGCACCGATACCAGTTCTTTTCAAGTACTGATACTTGTCCAAGTACACACAGACACAAGTACTGATACATTTTTCAAATATATTCAAATATCCTGATGTAAACCAGCGAAGCCCATCCAACTTGAAAGAGCTGGAGTAGTTTTGCCTTGAAGAATGGGCAAAAACCCGGTGGCTAGATGTGCCAAGCTTATAGAGACGTACCCTAAAAAACTTGCTCAAAAACTGTGGAACCAACACATGATAATCTTCCAAAGAAATTCAAACTTTATTCCACATGCATCTGTACAAAGCACAACTGCTGACGTGTGTCTGCCTTACACGGCCTTAAGGTGCCCACACACCTTGCCATAATCGCGGGAAATCCCACGATCGTACGATTATCGTAAGGTGTGTGGGAGCCTCCAAGGTTGGAAAATACAGAGGCTAAGGGGAGAGAGAAAAATAAAATGCATGTTTTCTCCATCCATGCTTCCACAACAGCTGGGGGGGGGGGG